CGTGTGTGTGTGTGTGTGTGTGTGTGTGTGTGTGTGTGTGTGTGTGTTTGCTTGTGTGTTTGTGATGGATCTGTTGACGTTCACTTCCAGAGGCATCTCACTGGCAGGGCACGTGCCATGCGTCAAACGGCTTGTCCTGGGTTGAAATTCTGGCGGTAAATATTTGGTGGCCGGCTGCCCGTCATCCAGCGGCCTTGTTGTTCGTTACGAGTTAACCCTCAGACTTTCTGCGGGGGCTCTCGTGGCCTAGAGGTTACGGTGTTCGCCTCCCATGCAGTAGGTCTCGGGCTCGAAACCTGACAGCGACGGAAGTTTTTCCTCGCTAAAAATTACTTTCCTACTCTCTATCCTTGTTCTGTCGCCTGTTTTAGTTTCCTCTTTCTGCAACCTTTCTACTGATAGTGATACTCTTTCTTACTGCTGTCTTTTGCCACACCCCTGATCCTAGGGTAGGTAAAATCTACCTCCAAGCGTTCTCGGATAAGAACGAAGAATCTCGGAGGTCCCGTGTACAGTTTTCGCACGTTAAAGATCGATCCCTTGATGGTCCTAAATAAAAATTCAAAATTGTTCCCTACCAACTGAAAATGTTTAAGGTGTCTCTAGCTCTCATATGTGACATTATGCAGTTACGAGCGCCGAAAAACACCAATTTTTAAAAAAAGACATTTTGTAGTCAGAATCCTCACCGGCGTCTGTGGTGTAGCGGTTAGGCGCATTGCCGACACGTTGCGTGCAGAAGACATGAGTTCGACTCTCGTGAAAGGAGAATTTTTATCGAGTAGCTCGGTCTTCCTGCTGAGATCTTGTGTCTCAGCCCAGATTGACCGTGGCATACAAGATCGACGCCTGTTTCTTTAATAATCTAAATTATGTCCATGGGGATGTATAAATACGTACCTTAAAAAAGAAATCAAAATCCTCACCGAGCGGCCTATATTGTTTTCTGTCCCACTTACAGGATGCAGCTCCCTCACTGGCGAGGTATCGCTCATACGTTGCAATATTTCTGGCATAGGGTTTATGGTTGGTATCTTTTCTACCGAGCCGACTTACCATATTATAAGTGCTTAATTAACCGAGGAGGGTTAATCTCGTCTTTGTTTAGTCGCGGACAGTGTTGATGGAGAGTTTTCTAGCATATAAACTCCATATTATTTAAAAGCCAGCGCAGAGGAACGGCCAAGTCTTTTGAAGAAAACAGTTTACTGCAAGAGCTTGGCACAGCACCAAAACGAGGCCTGGAACGTGTGTGAGCAGAAGAGAAAGAAAGAGAGAGAGAGAGAGAGAGAGAGAGAGAGAGAGGGGGAGAGAGGGAGGGAGAGA